ATCAGAGTTGGAAACTGTATGAAAGGATCAAATAGAAGTGCTCGTTTGAAAAAAGATGGTACAAGAGATGAAGAATATCTTTATCAGTAGATTCAACAAAGTTGAGAAAAGAATCACTGAACATGATGAAATGATCCAAACTGACCTACAAAAAAGAACCCCAAAAAGTAGTGAGGAAAATTAAAGACAGAACATCTAAGAGCTGTGGGCCAATTTCGGGTGATCTAATACATGAAAATGGAATCCCAAAAGAAGATAAGAGAAGGTGAGAGATGACAGAGCATAGAATGGAGTAGGTTGGTGTGGGAGACTGTCCTTAGGATAGAAAATTACTGAAGAATGGCCATTTTTCCAAAATGGTTAAAGACATCAAAATATAACTTCAAGGACAATATTTCAGATAATCAGGTAGAGTAAATACGTCTGCCCTACCCCTGAGATGCCCCCCCCACCCCAAAACACAAACTGCTAGAAAACTAAATAGAAAATAAACTAAGGCAGGGGAAATGGGTATATTTAGAAGAACAAAGAGAATTATAACAGACTTTGCATCTGAAATTATGCAGGCAGGAGCACAGTGGAATATTTTAAAGGCTGAAAAAGTTGAGTGGAACAAAACTACCTTTAAAAAAGAGAAAACCTTTAAGACAACAAAAACAGAACTCATTGCCAGCCTCCCTATACTATAAGAAATGTAAAGGAATTTCTTTGTGCAGAAGTACAATAGGCAGAAACTTGGATCTATGCAAAGAATTGGAAGGTGCTAGAAATAGAACAAGTGAAGGTAAATATAAGGTTTATTTTATTCTGATAATAAATTGCTCTAAATAAAATTAGAAATTAAATTTATAACATATAAAGGTATTTGATTATAGCCCAAAGGATGGGAAGAAGAAATTGTGAGGTTGCTACTGTGAGGTTTTTACACTACATGTAAAGTGCTATATTATTTGAAGGTATATTGTGATTAAACATATATATTGTAAATCCCAGACCAATTACTAAAAACAGTTAAAGATGCAAACAAGAAGCCCATAACAAGCTAGCTAAAATCAAAAAATAATTTTTAAAAAGGCAGAGAAAGGAACAAAAAACAGATCAAGAAAATATAGAATTGAATATAGATTTTTAGCCCAACCATAAAAAATTTACAGAAGTGTGGGCAGGGTAGAGCCTGGAAGTAGAGCCCAGCATAGCACTGTGTTCCCCGGACTTCTTGCTATTTTGTGGCAGCCTGGGTGGAAGGCCATCAGGGCCTACATGAGTTATGTTGGAGTGAGAACCAGAAGAGAAAAGGCAGTCTATCTTCCAGAGACATGAAGCCAATGTTATCTCATGTACTGAAATGGCCAAACAGATCCAAAAGGAAGATGTGGAGTCCTGGATTGCCCTACGGAATGGGAGGCCTCACCTAAGCATTGTTTTAAAGAACAACCAACCCAGTGAGCAGTGTGGTAGTGAGCAACAAGGTTTAAGCTGCCTCTGCCATAGTGAGCTCATTCTAAAACCTAAGGAAGTTTTTCAAGAACTTTTGGATATAATTGATCATCAGTTGAACATGGATCCCAAAGTCAGTGTATATTAGTTCAGTTACCACTTCCAGACCATGTGGTTAAGTGAATGGTATGCTGTGGAATAGCTCCAAGAAAAGATGTGGATGAGTTTCACGTTATCCATGTGGTGAAGCTTCCTGGACCAGCATTACTTCATCCCTGCCACTGCCAGTGCTGTTTGGGACATCATCAAAAGGACAGGGATTGAAAGCTTTGGGGAAAATGTGGTTGTGGCTGGACGATCCAAGAACATAGGCCTTCACACCACCATACTCCTACACATGAGTGGAGACCAGGAGAGGCCAGGAAGTGATACAACAGTGACCATAGCGCATAGGTACACCCCTAGGGAGCAGCTAAGACCCAGACTCAGCTGGCAGATGCTAGTTACTGTGGTCACTGCAGGTGGGCCCTCTGGTGTTATGTGGGGGAACATCATCAGCAGAGCAGACCTAATTGCTGACATACTTGAGAGAACAGTTTTTTGGAAGATATGTACATAGGAATATATGTGACTTAATCTTCATCAATTGAATCCTGTCTCCGCAGTCATCAGACTGGTCCATTGTGTCCTATTGAGCATTTATCCCTTCATTATGGAAAACACAAGTGGTTTGGGGTGACAGATAAGTCACAAAAAGCTAGATAAGGAACTGAAGATGAATAAAATTGTGGCTATAGGGAAAAATAAATAAAATTTGTAAGTGGTGCTCATGGAAATAGAACAACCAGTGAGGAAGAGAGAGCTGCTGGCCATATCCAGGCTGAAGAACCAGATGTGGAGTCCACACTTGGGCAAAGTTGACGGACTGGACCAAAGTCCAGGACCCAGGAGAATGGTTCCTCAAGAAGGGTGTATATGAGGTTGGAACTGGTAGGCTGAGTGTTCTTGGTCTACAAGAAAGAAAGGGTAACTTAAGGTACAAGGAGATGTTTCTTTAACATCAGGGGAAAAAAATCTAAACCTAACTTCTAATATAAGAGCTGTAAGTTATCATTCCTGAAACAGTCAGTTCCCTCTTTCTACAATGATTAGGATGATGGATCTCCTTGTGTATTCTACCTTACAATGTAGCCTAGGCTGGCCTTGAACTCCAGGCAGTCCTCCTGAGTGCTGGGATTACAAGTGTGTGCCACACTGCCTGGCTTATGACATTTTATATACTATACCTGAACATCAGTAGATTTTGGTATCCTAGGATTCCTGGAACCAGATCCCCATGGATATTGAGAGACACTTGTATTTAAGTGTACAGGGCCATTATGAATATAACTTACCCATTAGTAGTTTAGGAGAAAAACTAGGTGCACAGAGAAAGAGAATGTAAGTACAGATGATAAAACAAAAACCGTCATAGGCCTATTTGTATTATTCCTTTTTTGTAACTGTAAATTTGACATTTTTTTCTAAAAGTTCTAAATTTTTTTCTTTAAAAAATACCAAAAGAAAAGGCCATCAATACTTAAATTTGAGTCAAATTTAAGACTTGACAGTCTAGTCTTCTAAACATATTCTATCCATTGCTATTTTTGTTCTTTTTCTCACAGGAATTTTGGGCCAGGAATACCTTTCCTATTTAACCTATCCTAATCTTCCACATCCTGTCATCGTGTAATTCTAGTTTAATATTTTGTTCCTCCACACTCCATTTCTTTTTCTCTTTCATTAATTCCGTTTTCTCCCTCTCTCTCCCTCTTATTTAAATATAATAAGATTGGATGTAACACATTTCAGATTATTTCTGTGAGAGCAGACACTTTATTATATATACCTATATTACCATAGAGAGCCAAGTTTATGATTCATTTATGTAGTTCTGACTGATTTTTATTATGAGCAACTGAAGTGGTCTCAATCATATTTTTTCAACCCTCATCAAAATCAGTTTTATTTTAGGTTTGTATATTGCTTGTATAGATCAAAAGTACCAACTAAGATCATAAAATTTTCAAGAATTGAAAGGGTTTTAAAAACCATTCAGAGCAAAACACATTTTCCTAAAAAGACTACATTCTGATTAGTGAAATTTACTAAGCAAGAACTTAGGTCTCTTATTTTTATTTCTTCTCAGTATGGCCATAATTGTTATTTTTGTCATACTGCATTATTTTTTATTTAATATATTGGTATTATTAAAGGTGATGGTTATAAATCATTGAGATTATTGTTAATAACTTAGTTTTTGTACCCATGTATAGTTAGTAGAAAACTATTGGGCCAGATTTGGCTTTCATAGTACAAATGTTCTAATGGATAGCTCTCCAAATCTCTAACCTTATGAGAATTATTCCTCTGCTTATTAGAATATTTTCTGATAAGTTAGCACTAAAATCTTTCTCTTGGTCATACAGAGGTTATACATCATAGTGATTACAATCACTGGACCTAGGCTGGAGATACAGTTTAGTAGTAAAAGCTTGCTTAGCATGCTCAAGTCTTTGGGTTCCATCTCTAGCACTGACATAAAAGAAAGACTACTAGACTTCAGAAACGGAACCTGATGTTTTGGAATTCATTCCCAGCTCTGCCACTTACTGGCAGTGTGATGTTGGTTGTTTCACTTAATCCATTTATTTGTTTAGTTTTGTTTGTTTGTTTGTTTGTTTTGAGACAGGGTCTCACTGTATAGTTGAGACTGACCTGGAACTCACTGTGTAGCCCGGGCTACAAATTTACAGAGACCCACCTGCCTTAGCCTCCTGAGTTCTGGGATTATAGGTGTGTATCACCACGCCCGGCTTAATCCATTTATTTGTAAAATGGGAATAGCCGAATCTGTCTCAGGTTAAATGAACTGGTATATCTAAAGTACTTAAAAGAATGCCTACATAAATGATAAACATTTTAACTAATAATATTATTTACTAAAAGACAGTAAATAGGCCAGGGTATTTTCCATGTAATTTGCCACCATAAATAAGATAGTATATTTAGATCATTATCTTCAGAGGAGTTAATTTTACCCTTGTTTATATTTTCAAGTTTGCTGTTGTTGTTTTTTTCCTTAGAGTTTATGCCTGCTAAGGAATTCTTTTTATCATTGCTTATCACCATATGGTTTTCTTCTACCCATTATTTGTGTTTTGTATGTGTTGCATTGGTTGTGTATGTATTTGTATGTGTTAGCATTTTTAAAACAATTTGATATAATAATTCCATTTTAGTGGCTTTTAAATAGTTCCATGAGTCTGTGCTATACATATGAGGCTATGTTGATATTTCATACAAAAGCTTAAAGAAGCTATGACATATAAGCCGATACAGTGCCTGGTTATATATTTCCACTTTACACATTTTAAACCAATATTCTTATGCCATCTTTAAAGATAGGGTCATTAAAATTACTAGACCATATGAATACAAGTATGACCATACGTTGCTTTTAAGAATAAATGATCATCCAGTAACGTGGTCTAAGTAAAATATTCTCTTTTTTAATTATGTAGTCCTCCTCGCCATCTTCATCACAGCCTCATTCTAGCCACTGCAGAACGAAGGCCTCATCATTGTGTCACCATGCATCCCTGCCCTGGGTCAAACGTAACCATGTAGGCCCTGCAAAGGCTACCAGTCCATCTCTCCGTCTTCGTCGCTGGCGACCCTTCTTACGCCTACCATCTTTGGGTCTCCATTCTGTTGTAAGTGTAGTCAATCTTCCATCTCTTCTTCCAGTGACAAGGGCAGTCTTTTTATTTTATTTTTTTTCTTTAAAAGTCTTCAGTCTTGGAAGTGCTTTCTCTTGATTCACTCAACCATTAGCTTTTTCTCCCCAATAAGATTGCAAGCATACCTCTATGCTTTGCATTCTCGCTTGACTTTCACCCCAGTACCTTAGTGAACATCCATCTTTCCACTCCATATTCTGTTAAACGTAAGGATGCCTGCCCTCTGATGTGTACTGATCAACATTCATGATAATGTTTAAGTTTCTGTCAGTTGTTAAAGTGTATATGTGTTTTCTTACCCTTCAGCTTTCTGATTTCATTTAGTTGACTGAGGTCAACAAATGCTGTGTACATTCCGAGTTCTTTGTCATCTATTACTTTAGTTTTTTTTTCATGTTTCTGAGCATGACTTGTCTTTTGCCATGCTCTGGGGTCACTTTACTTAATCTATCCTCAACCTAAATCCTTCATGGTGTAGGGTATTTCATCTAAGCTGTTTTATTCCCTGAGGTGGCTCAGGTACTTGGTTTAATCTTGATCCGATCTTCCCTGCCTATTCAGTTTCTAAACATCTTTTCCAAGTAGGAAATGAAGATTTTCTCTTTGTGTATTTATATAGGCTTCCCACAAATTCTATAATTTCTCTTTTGTAACCTAAAAATATCAGCAAACTACTAAAAAGTACATTTGTTTTTATAAACCTAAATATCTTAAATGTTGAGGTTGATTATGAAATTCTAGTAATTATCGTACTGAAATAAATTGCAGATTAAGCAACTATAACTCCTGTCTTTCTGATGTTTTAGACTATTAAAGGCATTGACTGGTTTGGCAGAGCCTGTCTAAAAATGCAATTAGGTTTGTGCCACATGTTGTAAGAAACTTGACATTTCTGTAAATTGTAACTGTGGAAGCCCGGGGAAATTTGATTACACAAACATTTTAACACTTAAAAACAGAAGATGTTGAACATTATTTCCTCCCCTTTATTTACCTTTCCAGAACTGTATTCAAACTATGAAGTGGAGTTTCAATACTTTCTTAGACATTTGCTTCCACCAAACATAAGTGTGTCCAGTAGCCTTACATTTGTGCTGAATATCAACAAACTGGTGTCTCTGTTTCATTACCCTCATTGGGTTACAACATTCATTTGCCATTTTTGTTCACTTAATCATTTGATATTTGTTGCTTCTCTAATGTGCTGTGTGCTCTTTGATATAGTGAGGGATTCAAGGTAAATTAGATGAATAGAGGAAAGTCTAATTTTGTAAATTCTGAGTGGGGCACAGTTGCTTTAAATGTAAATATGAAAATTTTTTGTACTTAAAAACACTGTAAATATAAGTGAACATGTCATAAAATTTGGCATTTCCAGTTTTATATTTTCAAAGTAATGTTGATATTGCTCCATATTAATTCCATTGCCTTATAGCCTCATGTTTTCATAGCATAATGGATAAGAACATGGATTTTGGGCATTGCCTGACTGTTACCCTAGAACAAGTTACTGTTATTAAATACCTCTCTATCTCAGCTTTCTTGAGAGTAAAATGGGTATAATTGTATTATTTACCTCATTGGGTTTGTATGATGATTAATTAATCTATATATAAAGTACTTAGAACAGATTCTCGTATATATTAAGTATATATTAAATTTGGACTTTAAAAAATAAAATTTATATTTAGTGCTTAATTTCTAATTGATGTATTAGATTAGTTTTTAATTCTTTCAGTTAACTAAGAAATACTATATTCTAAAGCAAGGAATTAATAAATCAGGCAAAATTATCCAATATAGAGCTTCTCTTTTTTGCCTTCTGCAATTTGTTTTTGCCTTCCACAATTTTTTGAAACAAACATCTTGCTAGTATTGATTTTTATTTATTATTTTTAATGGGGTAATTTTTAGTAATTGAGTAATTGCAGATTTAGGAAGTGGCTTAAAAATAAATATTGAAGTTATGTAGAAGGCTTAAAAGTTTTGAGCTTATCTTTTATAATAGGTTGAAGGCTTTTCGTGCCTACTTTAGGATTTTGTGGTCTTTGTTGTTGTTCTTGTTGTTGTTATAAGAATAGGAAAAATTTATTGAGAGAAAAATAGCTTCTTCCTAAGAGAGACAAAAGGGGACCAGAAAGTGGGTCTCCTAGGATTTTGTAGTTTTTATATGGACTTTTGGATAAAAGATACAATGATACAATTTTGAGTCACTATGTTTGGTAATTGCTTGTATTTGTGAAAATATTTTAATATTGCAAATACATAAGGTTTATATAACACTTAAAATATTTTGATACATCTCATTTAAACCTTGAAGTGAATAAGAAACCTAAAGGTCACAGGTATTGAGTAATCAGTTTTCTGACTCCAGCTGTGTATTGCTTTTACGTCTAGCATAATTTATTTACTGGCAAAATATGAAACATAGGTATATGATGCATAGTGCTTGGGAGAAATTAAAGTAATAATTTATAAAAACACAGTAACTGAAAAGATTTTTTATTGGGGGGGGTTTGAGACACTATGTAATTGAGACTGACCTGGAACTCACTATGTAGCCCAGGCTGGTCTTGAACTTACAGCGATCCTCCTGCCTCAGCCTCCCAAGTTCTGGCATTACAGGTGTGTGCCACCATGCCCAGCTGAAAAGATTTTAAATACTTGATATTACATTGGGAAATTGTCTTAAAATGAGTAAACTAAAACTTTTTCCTAGTTAAATGAATTCATTCTAGCATTTTCTCTCAGAATTGAATTTACTGCAAACTGCTTAGGTTTAGCTTTGAAAAACTGAATTATCTTCTAGTCATTGATAAACTGAGGGGATTGGATTGAATGATCATTAATATTTTTTGGTTCCCTGACCAGGAAAGGGAACTCATTATCACAGACATAAAATATTTGAATAAATACCATATTTAAGAAGGACTGGACTTTTTTTTCCAGGATGATGGAAGGCACAAGGAGATGTATGTTAACCTCAATGTGAAAGATAATTCTAACAAAACTAACAGAGGGCTAGACCGCCACAATTTTTTTTTTTTTTTTTTTTTTTTTGTGGTACCAGAGATCGAACTCTGGACCTTGTGCTTGTGAGGCAGGTGGTGGAACCATTGAGCTAAATCCCCAGCCCTACGCTGCCACAAATTTAGGCAGTTCCTTATAATGGAGGGGCTTCCACAAGAAGGGGCTCTGTTAGAGAAGAGTCCAGTACTGAACAATAGCAAAGCTAGATAACTTTGATTCCTACCAGTGTGGAATTCTTCAGTTCTAGGTTGAAGTTAGGAAGAGTTAATTTGCCATATCAATTTATGTTGAATTTCTTTCATTTATAATTTGAGGGGAATAGTAGAATAACGAGAGATTAGTTACTATATTGATTAATATATATTGATTAGTATATATTAGTTACTATGGATGACTATATTGATGGTGATATTGGGCCAAGGATTTAGCTCAGTGACACTGAGCCTGCCTCACTAACGCAAGTCCTGAGTTCGATTCCCAGTACCGCCAAAAAAAAAAAAATGCTGATATTGTTTACCTTTTTAATAGCTGCGTCACAAAACTTTATATTATAACCACTTTACAATGTATACATTGCTTAAGGGTAAGAAAAGTGTAATTTTTTTCCAAGTTCAATCCCCAGCACAAAAAAAAAGTGTAATTTTTTAAATTTAAGATAATATCTGTATTAAAAGATTATTAGGTGATACGAATATAATTTGATTTATGCCTTTTGAAAACCTTTACCTGTAAAATTGATGTTTGAGGGCTGGGCTAGGGATTTAGCTCAGTGGTTCCACTGCCTGCTTCACAAGTACAAGGTCCTGAGTTCGATCCCTGGTACAAAAATAAAAAGTTTGACTTGTATTTAATAGTTACTGTACTTCATTTCAAGTTACATAGATTTGATATATAGATAACACAATGTTAGCTGTGTACTTACTGCATATCAAAGTACCAGCTAATCAATGTATTGACTTTGCATAAATTATTTGAATGTCTAAGAAATATAAATATTGGTCATGTAAATGATTTTGGTAAGCTACAAAAACCTAGCTAGAGCTTACATTTCAAATTGTTCATTAAGCCAGGCATCGTGGCGCGTGCCTGTAATCCCAGCACTCAGGTTGAGGCAGGAGGATCGCTGTGAATTCGAGACCAGCCTGGGCTACTTAGTGAGTTCCAGGTTAGCCTCAACTACATAGTGAGACCCTGTCTCAAAAAAAAAAAAAAAAATGTTCATTAAAAGTAAAAGAAAGAAAAAATCCTGAGCTATATGGTAAATTATACTTTGATTTTTTTTTAATTTTTTTCTGCCTCTTACGATTTTAGGGCTATTTCCCTACGTCTATTCATTTGTACCCTTTTTAAGTCTAAAATCAGTACACATACTTACTTGTTTTATTCTGTGATTGTTTACATTGTATTATTCAAAATTTGAGATTAAATTCAAGTCATTAAGGGAACCATCTCATTTTCCTCATGTCTTAAAATTTTACTTAAGCCAGGCATGATGGTACATGCCTGTAATCCCAGCACTCAGGAGACTGAGACAGGAAGGTTGCCACAAGTTTATGGCCAGCCTGGGCTACATATCTAGTGAGTTCAAGGCTAGTCTAGACTATATAGCATCACTTTGTCTCCAAAAACCCAAGTAAATAAATTTAAAAATTAACTTGAAAACATTTCTTTAACTCTCTTTATGAATTTATGAAGATGTTTTAACTTTCTTACTTTGAATTTAAAAATTAAAGGAGTCATACCTTCATTGCATCAACAAGTGTACATTGTATATATGCTGTGTACCAGACATTGTGCTAGGCAGAGGGCTTTCAAGGTTAGCAAGACTTTAAATATTTAAATCAGCTGAAACCAAGGAAATTTTGCTTTTGTCATTGTTTTCTCTGTTGATGGAGGGACACATTTTTAAAATAAATATAGGTATGGTTACTTTGTCCACTATATCAAGTATAAGCCTGTAATTAGATAAATGTTATCATGTCATTTGCTATTGTTTGTAAATGTTTATGTGTACTTGATTCATTTGTTTGACAATTAATGTATATAATATGTATTTTTCCCTCCCGTTCCAGGCACCAAATATAGATGAAAAAGTAGACCTTCATTTTATTGCATTAGTTCATGTAGATGGTCATCTCTATGAATTAGGTAAGAACTATTTTAATTTAAAATTTAAAATCTCTATGATAATAGGATTGTTGGTATTTGTTGTTTATGTAAGTTAATTGATTGTCCTATAAAAATGAGTTGAAGTAGTTTTCTTTTTTTGGGGGGTGAATTCAGAATGGGCTTCATAAGCAGATTTTTAAAAATGAATAAGTGGGCCAGGGATTTAGTTCAGTTGCACTACAAGAGCCTTGCAAGCACAGGTCCTAAGTTTGATTCCCAGTACCAAAAAAAAAGAAAGAAAGAAAACGGAAATGCAGTATATATATATGTATACACACACATATATATGGCAGGTGCTACAAAATGAACAAGTTATTGTCTACTTGAAGTAATAAGAGAACTTTGAAACATTTTTACAATCCATATTTTGAAATAATTTTAAGTATTTATGGAAATTATAGGAATATATACAGCACTCTCTTATACTCTTCTCCTAGGTTACCTAGATTCAGTTAGTATTTTTTTTGTTTGTTTGGTTGGTTTTTTTTTGGTACCGGGGATCGAACTCGGGTCCTTGCGCTTGGAAGGCACGCCACCGAACCGCTGAGCTAAATCCCCAGCCCTCAGTATTTTTGAAAATAACACGTATACATGATGTCCCATTGTCCACCTTTAATGCATCCACTTTTCCTCAAAACAAGTGGATACTTTCCTTCATAACTGCAGTATGACTATCAAAGTCAGAATTTTAACACTGATGTAGTATTAATGTCTAATCTATGGACACCATTCAGCGTTTTCTGATTATCAAAATTATGTCATCTATAGGTTCAGAAGCAAATCGAGGATCACATATTGAATTTAGTTGTCATGCTTGTCTTTAATTCAGAACAGTTTCTCCATCTTTTATCATCTTTCATGCCTTTGATTGTTTTTTTTTGTTTTGGGATTTGTTTGGGAACTGGGAATCAAATTCGGGACCTTGTGCTTGCGAGGCAGGTGGCAGAACCACTGAGGGCATCCCCTGCCCTTTGACACTTATTTTTAAGAGTACCAGGACAGTTACTTTGAATTTATCCTTCAGTTTGGATTGTATGATATTTTTTCACAATCTATCCATTTTTGGCATGACTACCTGAGAAGTGATGTTATATTCTCAGTTTTTTACATCAGAAGGTGCATGATATGAATTTGTGTTGGGCGAGGGATTTAGCTCAGTGGTTCTGCTGCCTGCCTTGCAAGCACAAGGATCCAAGTTCGATCCCCAGTACCAAAAAAATTTGTCTTATTGCTGGTAATGTTAACTTTTGTCATTTAGTTTAGATGGCATCTGACTGAGTTCTCTACTGCAAAGTTAATAAGTATGTCATTCTTATTATTAATAATAAGTATTTTTCAGAAAATACTTTGAGGCTTAAATATACAGTTTCTCATAAAATTTTTATCTGCGGTAGTCAGGAAGCATTGATGAATCTTGACTGACTTATTATAGTGTTTACCAGTGGTGGTTATTTTTTTAAAAAGAATTCCTTCAACATTAGAAACTTCTTTCTCATTCATTTATTCATTCATTTCAGATTGACTCATATTTTACTTAAAAGGTTACAATCTAATACATTTTATATTTTGATGCTCAAATTATTAGACTTGGCCTTGAAGGGAACCTTTTAAGCTAGCTCTGTATCCTTTTTTTTCAGCTTTAATTGAGTTTATTGGTACATTTTAGGGATACAGTACAGTTACATTCATTGTTGGGATCATGTACCTCTACATGACAGTCTTGATTCTCATTTTTTCCCCTTACCCCTGCCTTCCCTTCACCCCCTCCTTCCCTCCCCATCTACGAACACTTTATTTTCATCTTTTCATTGTCTCACTTTTTTTTCTTTTCCGTTATTACCCTTCCCCTACCCATCCCACCTTCCGTATACCTTTAGCTCTTTTCTTCCCATTTCTAAATGTCAGTAATCTTATAGCTCTGTATCCTTTTGATATGCCATTGTTATTCTTTGAGTACATTTAGGTAAAACAAGATGTTTCAGGCTCATCTTTCATTTTCTGTTCCCTTTTCCTATGTTTAGCTGCCTCTCCAAGGAACCTTTGTTACTTTTATTGGAAAATGATTATTTAGAACAAGATTGTGGTGTTAGATGTGCTCATGGCTGCTAAGGTATCATTGCTTCTAAGCCCTCTCAGATGACAGAGCTAAGAAATAATTGTATATATTACATATATGAACACACATATGTGAATAGGAGTTTACATGCACACACAGTTGTATCTGTTTCTCAGCCTATATTAAAAAAGCTTAGTTTAAGAATAAGCCTCTGGGCCAGGGATTTAGCTCAGTAGCTCCACTGTCTGCCTCACAAGCACAAGGACCAGAGTTCGATCCCCAGTACCGAAAAAAGAAAAAAATTTTAAAAAAGAATAAGGCTCTGAGTTCTATCTCTGGTACTGAAAAAAATAATAAAAATGTAAGTTCAAGAGTTAAATAAGATACTCAAAGTTTACATGGCTAAATAAATAAAAAGCATTAATTTACATTAGTTTAATTCTGGGCTGAAGGTATAGTTCATTTGTAGAGTATGTATAAGTATTTGCCTAGTATGTATAAGACTCTGGCTTTGATCCTCAACACTGTAAGACAAGTAACAACAAAACTCAAAAAACATTACTAATTTAGTCTAATACCACAGATTCATCCTAGGGTTTTCTGCATTTGTGACTCCCTTTTCTGTGAATGTGGGAAACCTTGCTTCCATGAACCATGAACCTTTGTGTATTTTTCTGGTGTGTCTATTCCCTCTCTATATAAAAAACACTTGGCCACAGTAGTCTAAAGCTCAGTTCTACTCCTAGTCACAGTCCCAGTAGTCCCCAGTTCCACCCAGCTCATGGGTCCTGTTCTGGCCCAGAGAAAGTAAGAGCCCTCCAAAGCTTGCTTCCTATTTCCAGCATTTGCAGTTTCACAGTGCTTCAGCTTCCTTGAATTCTCCTCAGCTCTTCGAGACTGTTTTGCTCTTCGAAACTGTTTTGCGTTTCTTGAGTTTCTCTTTTCTATACTCACTGGGTACAGAAAATGTCTCCTAGCATAATGCTGGTGTAACTGAGGGCTCTCCTTAGTGACTTGCCACTGTCTAAAAACAACTGTTTCATATACTTTGTCCAGATTTTAATTGTTTCCAGTAAGAGATCTAGTGCAGTATCATCTATCTGGGAATAGAAATTGCCTAAGTGTTATTTCTTTGTTTTGGGGAGATTTTTTGATACTGGGGATTGAACTTGGGTCCTTCCACTTGCAAGGCAGGCAGCGGAACTACTGAGTTAAATCCACAGCCCAGTGATATTTCTTGATTTCCCCAAATGGAAAATAAGGATTTGGCTTTCCTTTGTTACCCTTTTTTCTTTACTCTTCTTTTCCAACCACAAAATACATACTTTTTTTTCTATTTTCCCAGTGTAGTTAAGAGTTGATGTTTATCTTATTCCAAAGATAGAAACATTCTCTGCTGAGTTTAAGTAACATACTTTTCTTTTTAATTTAAAAAAAGTCTCCAGAGTTAATAATGGTTTGGTTTGTTTAGTTATTCTTTTTAAATGTACTTAATACTGAGTTTCTTGTAGGATCTTTTCCTTTGGTCTGAATTTCTCAATATATTGGAGTATCTGGCACTCGGTTAACTTCATCTCACAGGTATCACTCCCTGTTCTCTTATACACATTTCTCCTCATGGGACATCTCCTTGTTATCATCCTAGACTTGCTCCTCTGTTGAAGTTCCTCTTCATAGATGCGAAATCTTCCTTATTTCTTGGTTACTCATTCACTTTATTTTAGTATCTACTCCAGTAGTTTACTAAAGAAAAGTTGTGAGGACAGTAAATATTTATAGCTTGAATATGTAAACTTGCATTTCTAAAAGTTTATGTATAAGAACAGTTTTCTTTCAAAATGTTGATGACATTGGTGTATTTTATTTTAGCTTACTTGAGTTGCTGCTAAGCCTGAAGTTATTATAATGCCTTATCCTTTATATATTACCCATTCATCCAAAACCCTGCAAACTTCTGGGACTTGTTTGTTGGTGGTTCTGGGGATTGAGTAGAATCTTCTCTTTATCTAAAGTTGTTGACATTTTATTATGCTTTAGGACATTATTTCAGTCTTAGAAAATCCTGAGTTTCAATGTGGGAAATTTTCTTTTTTTTGGATTTTATTTTCCTTTGTTCTGGCTTTCTGGAATATCTCTATTGAAACTTCTAATCTTTTCTCTATTTTTCATCACTGACTTTTGTTCTGGTCTCAGACTTTTCATTAACTCTATATTTAAATTTCAAGTTTTACAAATTTCTATATGTATGTGTGTGTGTGTGTGTGTTGGATTTTATTTTCCTTTGTTCTGGCTTTCTGGAATATCTCTATTGAAACTTCTAATCTTTTCTCTATTTTTCATCACTGACTTTTGTTCTGGTCTCAGACTTTTCATTAACTCTATATTTAAATTTCAAGTTTTACAAATTTCTATATGTATGTGTGTGTGTGTGTGTGTGTGTGTGTGTGTGTGTGTGCATGAAGATCAACTCAAAGGGTTACATGTGAAAGTGTTTACTTATGTATAGTCTTTATTTTAAAAGTTTTATCATTCATGATATTGACTGTCAGTGGATACTGGTAATTTAAAAATTTTATTGGTACATATTTGCAGTGTATGATTGTGTTTCTCACAGGTAGTTGGTACATATGCATCTCAATTCTTTTTTCATCCCCTCTCTCCCACCTCCCTCATCTCTTGGTTCCCTTGCCTTTCACAAAAGATCTATCTCCCTGTTTCCTATTATCTCTTTTATTTTGCTCTTTATAATTTTGGTTTTTCATATTAGAGAAACCATGTGATATTTAAGCTTGTGTGTCTGATTTGTTTCCCTAACATTATGGTCTCAAAATGCATCCATTTTCCTTCACATGACTTAAGTCTGTTCATTATTATGTCAGAGTGGTACTCCACTATGTATAAATGCTACATTTTCTTTATTTGTTCATCTGCTGGTAGACATATAGTTCACTTCCCAAATTTAACTGTTATGAATTGTGCTGCTATAAGTATGGGTATGTGTGTATTATCTAGAAAGGGGAATAGCTGGGATTAGTGGAATTTCTGGTTTTAGTTTTTTGGGGATACTGGGGATTGAACTCAGGACCTTGCACTTGTGAGGCAGGCGTGGTGTTGCTGAGCTAAATCCCTGCCTGACCTCCGTTTTAGTTTTTTGCAGAATCTCCATACTGATTTCCGTAGTGGTTATATTAGTTTATAGTCCCACCAATATTTTGATACTTAATTAGACATATTATGTGTGTGTATGTTAATGGGTATTAAATCCAAGGGATCGTGCCTCTTCATGCTAGGCAAGTGATCTACTGCTGGGCTACATTATTGGTCTTTTTTCTGTTTTTGTTTTGAAATAGGACTGTGTCAAGTTGTCTATAAATGCCTTGATTCTTTGATCCTCCTGCTGCAGCCTCCTGAGCACCCAGGATTACAGGCATGCACTACCATGCCTGGCTTATCTGCAGTTTCTTGGTTGTGTTGTAGTGTTTCAGGTCTTTGCACAACTTAGCATCTATAGCTTTCTGTAGGGTCTTATGCTCAAACTGTCTGAAGAACAAGATGTGAAGGAATTAGTTGGTTAGTCACAGTGAAGAAAGTGAGATAATATCCTCTTTTATGTCCATTTCATAACTGTAACAGCCCAGTTAGACCAAGGTTGTGGGGTCGCATCTATAAAGTTCATCTTTCTCCTGACCTAGAAGGAGTCTATAAGGGTCTTCACTATGACATGCTTTTACTGAAATTACACCCAAAGTTTAAGGCAAATGACAGTTTTGTGGTAGTAATGATCGGGGCAGTGGCAACTTTTACACTTTGCTGTTTTGGCAGTATTTTCAATAAAGGACCACATAGTATATATTTTAGGTTTTATGGGCTATACATTATTTGTTTCATTTATTTTTCCTTTTGTTTTTTCTTCTTTTAAAAACACAGAGACCAGGGACTGGGGATTGGCTCAGTGGTTTTGCAGCCTGCCTCGCAAGCGCAGGGGCCCAAGTTTGATCCCTGGTACCAAAAAAAAAAAAAAAAACCCAGACACTATTCTTATCTTAAGAAAGGCATAAAAGTAAGCTACAGGCTGGCTTTGGCTTGTGGACTATGGTTAGCCAAACTCAGGACTAGAAAACAATATAAATCATAATTAGGGGCCAGGAATTTACCTCAGTGGTTCCACTGCCTGCCTCACAAGCGCAAGGTCCTGAGTTTGATCCCTGGTACCAAAAAAAAAAAGGTGTTCTTGGCTGCAGTTTTTGGTCTGGGGACTTAGCCAAGTGGTTCCGTTGCCTGCCTTGCAAGCAGGAGGTCCCGAGTTCGACCCCAGGTACAAAAAAAAAAAAAAGTCATAATATTTGCTCTGAACTGCTATTTTAACAAAATAGTGTATGATTTCATTTTATTTATATTCTTTTGACATTTCAAGTTCAAGTATTTATGTTTGTACAAATGTTTTTGAAATTAATTATATGTTATCTTAAACAACAGCTACAGATAAGGAAAGTCTCTTAAGTGGAATCAAATGAGTGATACCAATGAATAAATTATAGGAATAAGGAAAGTATATAATAATTTGGTTAAGGAGGAGAAACCTACCCTATTTATACTTCTACTGTTATATAAAAATTAAAAGATACAACAGTATAAAATGGGGCAGCACAATTTTAATGAATACTATTTAGGTTCTTATAACCATAGAACATAAAAGGCTTTTAAAGAGTGTTTGCCACCAAAGGGTATTCTAAGGAATTGCCTTATGACATATTATTAAGAAATATATATTACAATTTAGACAGTATGTTCATAGAAGTGTAGATAACTCTTTTTTATTAATCTTATTGGTACATTTTAGTATACAATAAAGTGACATCATAATTGGAAATTTGTACCTTTACATAATCTATCTTGTAACTCAGTATTTGTTGTAATATTTGATTATAGGAAAATATTTTCTTTGGTACCAGGGGTCGAACTCCTCAGGACCTTGTGTTTGCAAGGCGGGTAGTAGAACTGTGGTTCTTTAAGAGTTACAATCTTTAGGGCTGGGAATGTCGCTCAGTGACACCATGTCTGCTTGTCAAGTGCAAGGTCCTGAGTTCAATCCCTGATACCAAAAAAGTTACAATCTTTAAGAGTAAAGTCCAAGTCATTGTAATTTAAGGATATATTTCTTTAGGATTTTGAATATTTATTTGTTAGTCCAAAAATGAAGATCGCAAATTCTGAAATAATTTATAGCCATTAATATCACATTACATGACAGCATATTTGTTTTCACTCACTTTCTTTAAAAGTATCTAACAATCCATCTATCAGTACTCAAATTTTACTAGTTTAGAAATTATGGAATTTTAGAAAAGGCTGTGTTTCATGGATTAAAGTTGATAAATCACCAGTAATAAAATACCTGCAATTATAGATTTGGATGCAGAGTATCAGTTTACATAATTCTGCACTTTTTCATAATATTAAGAGTACTAATCTATTCAAAGTGATTGTGAATTTTGTTAATTATTTTGGTGGTCAGTAAAATAATCCTAGGTTATTTGAGTAGTTGTTTTATATTACTGCATTGATGATATACAATTATTAGTAGTAATATGTAAGCCTCCTTTTCACTGACAAAAATATTTCAGTCTTAAGATCTTCCAATTTACTTGTAAGGTATTTTTTTTTATATTTCTAAGGATTGGAGTCATAACTTTTAAAATTTTACTTAAAAATTTTACAGATTTGTAAGAAACTAAAGCCATTTTTATTTATAATAAATTCTGATTGTAAAGATAATTCAGGCTTTTAAACATTGAAACAAATTTCATGTAATTTTAATATTAAAAAAATAAGGAGCACATTTCAAATATTTGTTTTTTAGACATATCATTTAAGGAATACTTCTGGGCTTACGACATAGCTCACTGGTAGAATACTTGCCTAGCACACATGAGGCCCTAGATTTGATCCCTAGCACAACAAAAATAAATTAAAAAAAAAAATATTTTAACTTTTCTTGCCTGTGGGAAAAAGAAAATGGAGGATAAACTACATTATTCTGTAAAAACAGCTGAACTTTTAACTGTTTGTCTGTTTTCCACAGATGGGCGGAAACCATTTCCAATTAACCATGGGAAAACTAGTGATGAGACTTTGCTAGAGGTAAAGATAAAATTTCTTGGCTAAGCCTAAGTGTTATTGATATTTTTGTTATCTTTAAAACATCTCTAAAGGTTCTGTGTATTTGAATATTTCTTTGTCTTTGCTCATTTTAGAAAATCCAAAAACAAAAATTGTAATTAGCATTAAAAATCTACATCAGATAAAGTTCCCAGAGTTCTTTATGTTATGTGAACAGGTGTCAAATTTGAAAAAGACAAGACTAGTATTGAAAGAGTTGCTCATTGAATCTGAGATATCATCAGTTGTGTCTTGACCTAATTTAAGAGATTTTAAAATGTAACAAGTCTTATGACTTAGAATCAATAAAATGTATAATTTTCAGGTTAAAAGTACAGTAACTATGAAATAGAAAATATGAAATTCTTATTTATCACCATTTGTAAATGAAACACATTTATGAACTGAAAAGTTATACTTTGTTTTTCCCCATAGGATGCCATAGAAGTTTGCAAGAAGTTTATGGAACGTGACCCTGATGAATTAAGATTTAACGCAATTGCTCTTTCTGCAGCATAGATTGTCGATGGAAACACTAAATACTGCATTATTTGCAACAGAAGTTAAATTTCTGCTGCCATACACTAACTCAAAACTTTTGATATTTTCCTTAACTTGACTGATTAAACTTTATGTGAATTAAACTTTGACTTAACCTGTGTTTTATTTTTCCCCCAAGTTAAACCTGAAAATTTTTCTTGCCCTTTCTTTTCTTTGTGAAGGATTTATCTTGTTGGATTACTAGTAATAGATTTTGTATTCTTTTTAATGTGAAATCATTCTCATGATCTCATGAGAGCTCATGTCTTAGAACACCAGACACAATGTACAAATAAATATTTTGCCATTTATTTAGGAAATACTTGTCGAGCATCTCATAATGAGATGGGCACTCTTCCAGGTGCAAGAATTAGAGCAGTGAGCACTGTTAAAAATTCCATAGTCACAGAGATTATGTACTTGCAAAAAGAGATGCATGATAAATACATAAGAAGATACCTTACCAAGGACTCATGCTATTTGGAGGATTAAACTAGGATTTCTGTTAATGAATGACTGAGTAGATTCTTTAGACTTTGTTGTCAGGGAAGGCTTCTGTGATGATGTGACTTTGAAGTTGAGTCCTTAATGGCAAAAAGTAGACAGTCATAAAAGTGGTGGTTAAGAGCAGAAAAAAGAATGAATGCTGAGTCTCTAAGGCAGGAAAATCTTGCTGTATTATATCACCAGGAAGAAGGTTCAAATGGCCAGAACATAGAAAATAATGGAAAAAGTTCCAACAGATGAGGTCAGAGAAGAGGGAGCTTAATAATATAGGAAAAGTCATTTGAATTTACTTCAACCAGGCTTATGATGGTAAGCTACTGGAAAGTTTTAAGCAGGAAGTGGCTTGATATGTTTTATAGTTTTAAAAAATCATACTGACAAGTCTGAGAATAACATATTTGAAGAGAGGGGTGAAAGAACAGAGGCAGAGAGATTTGTAAAAAGCCCAATATAGTAGTTCAATGAGATGTTGATGGCTAGATCTTAAAAGTGAGACCCATTTAGATGGAGGTAATTTAGCAAATTGGGGTTGTACTGTAGGAGGAAGGCCTTCAGTTAGTCTGATAGTTGAGAGCTGAGGGTGTAGTTTTGTTGTAGACATTTGCCTAGACGGTGGCGAACTTAAGGCATATTTCACCATCACTGGCCTAGCATGTCAATCCCCAGCACCACCAAAACCAGAAACAAAACACACCACACACACTATAGTTGGAAGTCAATGGAAAGATGAAAGGGTTGGATCAGAGAACATGGTTTGACTGGGAGTGTTTTACGTAGGGAGTAGTGGTTTCTCTAGTGTTTACATTGATCAGAATGTATTGGGTTTCACATTTAAAACCTGTACTGTACTTTAAAATCTGTGTAAAATCTGTACCTTTTACCTCAAAAAACAGAGTTTGTACAACTATAGTAGAACAGCTAGATTTGTCCACTATGAAATTCTGGACCAATAATAGAGTATAGATGTTTATATATGATTCACTGAGTATATGTGGATTCCTAAGGCAGTAATGTGGAGAAGTGCCTTTTCGAAAAAGTAATGTGGCAGTGGCTTGCAGAGTGAATTAGATCTTTGTTATTCGAAGTGTGATTTGAATCAGTATTACCTGAGAACCTGCTAGAAATTAATTTCAGACTCTCAGCTCTAAAACCTGCATTTTAGGGCCAGGGATTTAGCTCAGTGGTTCCACCGCCTGCCTTGCAAGCACAAGGACCCGAGTTCGATCCCCAGTACCAAAAAAAAAAAGTAAAACCTGAATTTTTAACATGATCCCTGAGTGATTCATATTACTAAGTTTGGGAAGCACTAAGTGAGAAAAAATATACTATGATGAGGAAAGTCACTTTTAAAGATTTTTAATTTACCACCATTATGTGGTGAAAAGGGCCTGGCTGAAGTGGTGACAAAGGGGATAAATAATCTAAAACAAATGCCATAAATTGTACGTGCATGATGCTTTTGTCATGCTATTAATGACAGAATATTTTTGTTACATTATTTGCACTTTGTACACATGTATCTTGTATATTAAATATTTCTGAGTAGTTTTTTGCCTGTTGTTTTTGCTGGATTTCTTCTATTACATACTTCCTTAATAGATTATAAAAGTAATGGCACATTACCCCGAATTCACAATTTCTCAAAACTTCCTAAGACTTTGCAGACTATTAATGGGCAAGAGAAGTCAAATATATTTTGTGTGTGTATTGTTCCTTTAAAATTTTTAGTACATGTTGGTAGTACATAATGATTATATTCATTGTGGGGAATTGGTACTTGTTTGTTTTGTTTTATTTGGTTTGGTTTGGTTTGGTACCAGGGATTGAACTTGAGTCCTTATGCTTACAAGGCAGGCAGCAGCACCACTGAGCTAGATCCCCAGCTGGGAATTGGTACTTGTATGTAACGCATCTCATTCTTCCCCCCACCCCTCCATTTCCCTCTATTTTGCCAGGTTCAGACATATTTATTTATCTTATCATAAATTTAATTATACATAGAGATTAACAACCAGACTAATAGGCCAAAAAACATATAAAATATATAGAATTATACTCTGTTAAGGTACACTTTTAGGTACATTGCCCATACTGATTATAATAGCTTTTTCCTCTTTTCCTATTATTATCTCTTATTTTACACTTTATGTATATATTGTTTCATAAATATAAGAGAAACATACTGAAGATCGTATGTCTGATTTACTTAGCATTAGGTCTGCATCCATTTTTCTACAGTGAAATATCTTGAAAACATTATTTACAGTTATAGGTACACTGGGTGGATCAAATGCTCAGCTTTTTAAAAAAATCCCACATGTATTGTAAATAACATTTTCTAAACGTTTTATGAGCCATTAGGAAGACTAGCACTTTTTCTCACACACTTTACGGTCATAGTCCTATCAAAAGACAAGATTTACAATAAATTTAGTTCTAGATGAAATTAATTTTATTCAAGAATCATGAATCAGGGCTGCCTCAATACTATAAGACAGAATGAGAGTTCACATTGAGCAATAGGAGAAGAGTGGGTTTTCTAAGGTGGGAATAAGAAAACTGGAAAAAAAAACTTGTTGGTAAACCTCAGGTTACTGTTTTGGAAGGACCAAAGCAAAGGAGACTGCCTTATAACATTAACTGAGGTAGACTAGACTCTTTTGTTTCAGGAAAGATTGATCTGTCTTGGGATCTGTCTGCTTCCTTAATGTTTAAGGTTGTGTGGCATAAGTGATTCCATTTTGGTTTGTTCTGTTGTTGCTTTGTACAGAAGCTCGGTCCAAACAATGGCCACCCATAATTTTGTAACAGTCCCTCGTGGAACATATAACTTGAAATTTTTCTCTTGTTTCTTCTTTCTTTCTTTGTATATATAACTTTATTCAGCTCTGCTCTCTATAATACTTTAATAATTTTCTTAAGGCTTGGCACTAGTTGAAAAAATGAATGGTTTATTTGTATGAAAAGTGAAACCAAGGCCAATAGAGTTATGGTTCATTTCTTTATAATGCTATTAATAACTGATAGATTTCAGGAAATAGAACAAAAATGCAAATTGAAACAATGTTTTTGCTTAGTGGACTTTTGGGAATGGCTAAATATTTTTTACCAGGTACAATGGTTGCTTCAAGTTATCAAAATATATGTTGTTGGGCCAGGAATTTAGCTCAGAGGTTCCACCACCTGCCTCACAAGCATAAGGACCCAAGTTTGATTCCTGTACAAAATAATAATAATATATATATATATATATGTTTATATATATACAAGACATATTAACCTTTAATGTTTTCCGTGTTCATTTATGACTAAAACAGACATCTAAGAGAAGATGTGGTTTTTCTATAAAATGGAGAACTACTCAGCCATCAAGAGTGAGAAACTAGAACCATTTATAGGAAAATGGATGCATATTGAGGCCATACTCTTAAGTGAAATAAATAGGACACACTTTTAAATGCCAGATAATTTTTCTGGTGTGAAAAACTAAAAGTGTAAATAAGATTCAAATTGTATAACTGATAATGTGAAATAGGAAGAAAAGGGCTAAAGGTGTAGGGGAAGTGGGAAGGGTATGGGAAAGGAAATAAGGAAAAAGAAAAATATGAGAAAATGAAAAAACGGAAGCAAAGTCTTTGTAAATAGGAAAGAGTGGAGGGAGTGAATGGAGGGCAAGGGTATGGGGAAAAAATGAGAACCAAGTTCTGTCATGTAAAGGTACAAGATTCCAATGATGAATGTAACTGTACTGTATACCTAAAAAGTACCAATAAACTCAATGGAAAAAAAGACATCTATATTTTGTGGTGAGTCAAACTTTAAGATAATTTAAATGAAAATCCCCTCTAATTCCTTATAAAATAAACTAAATTGATTTTATTAATCTTTGATTTGTGTTCAGTGCTTATTAAGTAAGGTTTATCATTGGGCTATATATAACATACAATCCGCTTATTGATTGAATATAATTCAAAAGATATTTTTACCTATTACTATTTTTGTGCTAACAGCTTTCAACAGAAGCCGCAGTAAATGTGAGTCCTATATTGGTGATAGTAAAAATTATAGACCAGTATAGTTCCAACATTTACAAAAAACTCCTTATAGAAATATATTTTTAGGGGCTGGGGATTTAGCTCAGTGGTTCCACTGCCTGCTTCACAAGCACAAGGACCTGAGTTCAACCCCCAGTACTCCCCCAAAAAATATAGGTATATGTGTACATGTGTAAATATATATAGCCACCCCTCTACATATGTGGTTTTTGTGTGTGCATATCCAACCAACTGTGGATTAAAAAATATTTGGAAAAAATTGTCTTTATATACAGGCTTCTTGTCATTTTTTCCTTGAAGAATGTAGTATAAAGACTATTTACATAGCTTTTACATTTACTTAAGATTTAAGTAATCTAAAGATGATTTAAAATACAGGTGGATTTATGTGGGTTACATGTTATGTAAGGAACAAGGATCCTGGTTTTGCTCTGGGGTACATCTAACCTAACTAAATGATGAATGTATACACTTACATCTGCATGCACTTATACCTTGAAAAAGCAAGTAACTTTGGTCTGAATTCTCTGTATAAATTAAGTCATTAGCTGAAGTTAGGTAAACCCACTTTGAAAAGTTATCATTGCAAAAGGATTTTAGAATTAATTTAGATCTTTAATGGAATGGGATAAACAGCGTACTCCCAAAGTAATTCCTGGAAGCTACAATTACCCTGTTTCCAAAACCAGAGAAAGACTCAACTTTAAAAAAGGGGCTATTGACTAATCTTTAATAAATGTAGAAGCAAAAATTCTCAACAAGATATTGGCAAACAGTGGCAAATAATCATCAAAAAGATCATACATCATGACCAAGTAGGGTTCATCATAGGTATGCAAGGATGGTTCAACAGACACAAATCAATAAATGTAATATATCACACAAGTAAGGACAAAAATCAAATGATCATCTCAATAGGTACAGAATAAGCCTTTGACAAAATCCAACATCCTTTCATAATAGAAATAGGTATAGAAGAAACTTATTATCAATATGATAAAAGTCAGTTATGACAAACCTACTCCCAACAACATATTAAATAGAGAAAACCTGGAACCTCTCCCTCTAAATTCAAGGCAAGACAATGATGTCCACTAGTGCCAGTCCTTGTCAGCATGGTACTCAAAACATTTGAGGGCAGGGAATTTAGCTCAGTGGCACCTTGCCTGCATCACAAGCACAAGCACACGGTCCTGAGTTTAATCCCTGCTACAAAAAGAAAGAAAAAAAACATTTAGGCAAGAAAAAAGATATATAAAGGAAAGGAATTAAAATTACTTGCAGATGTCATGATCCTCAACATAGAAAACCCAAAAAATTCACCAAAAGACTCTTAGAATTGATAACCAAATTCAATAATGTAGCAGGATACAATCTACACACAGGAACCAATAGCAGTCCTAAACACTAATAATGGACACATTATTAGAAATAAATTAAGAAAAGATACAATTTACATTAGCACCAGGAAAAATTAGGAATTAACTAAGGAAGTGAAAGACCTCTAAAATGAAAACTGCAGTACTCTGAAAAGGGAAATCAAAGAGAACATCAGAAGATGGAAAGATTATCTCATTCTGTATAGGTAAAAATAATGTAGTCAAAATGGCTATACTTCCAAAATGGGTACACAGAGTTAACACAGTTCCAATCAAAATACCATCAGCATTCTTCACAGAAATGCAGAGAGCAATCCTGAAATTCATCTGGAACCAGGAGACTCAGAATAGCAAAAGCAGCCAAGGGCAAAGCGGAGGTCATCACAATGCCAGCCTTGAAGTTATTTTACAAAGCTACAGTGAGAAAAATAACAAGGTACTGGCACAAAACAGATGTAGATCAATGGAACCTCAACCTATCTTGTTTGAGACACTCTGGTCTGGAGTAGGAGCTCCCCCTGCAAACCCCAACCTGAAGGGGTCTGGGCCCTCTCTGGATGTTGGGTCTCAATACTACACCTCCAAGCTGGAGACCCTGGCCAACTTTACCTCGGAGCTCTGGACCTGGATCTCCCTCCTGAGGTGGCTGGTCTTATGGAACAGTCACAATCCGTGCCCTGGGCTTCTCCCTACTGTGGCCATCATGCTGCCTCCTTACCCACAGGGCCCAGTTCTGCTGGCCTAGTTGGGGTGGGGTTGCTTACTCTGCTACATCTGGCTGTGGGCACCAGCTTGTTGCAGAAGTCTTGCCACCTGCAGTTTTCTCTCTTGAACCCCAATGAGAAGTACCTGTTGCAATTCCTAGACAAGATGATTGTGAACCACAACTCCAAAAACTTCTGCTTTGCCCTGCCTAGAACATTCTGGGGCTGCTGTGGCTTGATCATCAGGCCATACACTCCTGTCACCAGTGATGAGGACCAAGGTTTAGTGGATCTTTTTATTAAGGGAGGTTTTTTTAAATTGAGTTTATTGATAGATTTTAGGTATACAGTACAGTTACATTCACTATTGGGATCTTGTACCTTTACATGATATTAAGGGAGTTTTAACATCAGCCCAACAAGAAATCTCCATCAGAGACCAAATGGCAAAAACAAATAAACAAACTGGAACTGATTGCCAGGGTGACAGGAATCACCCCAATGCTACAGCTCATCTGAGCCCTTCTGAAAGTGCCTGAAAATCCAACCCAGTTCTTTCCACCTTTTGCCAACAAGACTGAAAAGGACGCAATCCCGTGGAAGGAAGGAGTT